AACAGTGACGATAGTCTATTTCTGTTTACATGGAAGATTTCCGAGCAACGACAAATTCGTGCATATAAGACGCTGGAATCGAAAATTACACCGGAGATCATGACGTTACAGATGATCACGCAAGAGTGAAAACGAGAAGTATTAAGTATGGGAAGCCGTTGGTATAAACTTTACCATTTAAACTGTTACCATTTAATAATATCTATTTCATAGTTTACTTTGTTCAGGTTAGGTTTCAACTGTTTTATGTATATAGCTTGAAGAATTTTTAGTTTTTGTTTTCATGTTTACGTATGGTTGTGTTTTCAACAAGGATTTTCCGGAATTGTGTATGCGGCCAGTCATGATTTTTTAAACACCTAAAAATGTTAGAGTTATCATTCAAATGTAGTGTCAAGCATCGTGAAAGGGAGTTGTGGTGTGACCAACATAAATATTATTTAATTTGTTGGAGGTACTATCTTCCAAAGGGTACTTGAATTTGTAAACTATGTTGTTTTTTTTTTTTTTGCAAATCTCTAACCAGAGGAGAAGAATATATATATATATATATATATATATATATATATATATATATATATATATATATATATATATATCCACGTATATAATATTATCTGACCTATGTAGTATAGGTCGATCGACTGGTACCCATATGACGACACTTGAAATGAGCATTTTTACGATCTACACTTTGCATCTGATGGTGACGATCATACTTATTTTGAAGATATTTAATTATGTAAATTGGTGCCTTTTGTTTTTATTCTGTAATGAGAAATAAAAATTTTATCGCTTTTTACATGTTTTGTGTGTAAAACCGCAAAATAAAATTGATGCATAATGTAGGCTATTAAAAAATAATGTTTGCGTGTTATGATGAGGTTATTTAACACCACAATGTCAATAAATTTTAATTAGAAATAGTGACTGTAGTTTTTACTAAACATTGCTATTTAACAATACTATAAGAAATAAAAATTGCTGTGAACACAACCCTAGCTCTACAAATCAAGAACGAAATATTTGTTTACGTTTCTTGTTAATTCTGTGTTGCTCAGCAAAGCATTTGCAATTTGCTGTGTGTTCGTCTCTTGAATATCACATTTTTATGCGAAACCTAGATATAAAGATTATTTTATTAGATTATAGCTGTAATACAGTTTAATAATATGAATTGTTTCAACCAGAAATATTTACCTCGATATTTACCATACCGAGGCAGTTGTTAGCTTAACCTGGTTCATGAAGCAAGCATACTAGCCTGTTTACGAGTGACGATAAAATACAGTGTTTAAGATTAGCTTTTTATAACTGCTCTATTAGACAATACCCTATTTTAGATGGTTATTATATATATATATATATATATATAAAGTGAACATAGAAGTCAACACGTAGAGGCGACAGTCTGTTTCATGCTAGCTGCAATCGTCAGGCCACGAGTGCTGTTATTTTTTTCTCGGCTATCTATATATACGGGTCAGTGGTGCATTGTGGGTAGTCTGTTTCGGTGTTTATTTTAACGGAAGTCGTATATTTGTTTATTTATTTGGGTTAAATTATTTTTCTTGTTTTTATTTATTATTATTTTTATTTCTTATCTAATATATTTATTTATTTTTATTTTTATTTTAATCGGTGTTTTTATTAACGTAGTAAAAATTGTTTTGTGTGCATAAATTCTTTGTTTCCAAGGTCTTTCAGATAATCCTATATATATTTTTCTTCATTATCCGTTGATTTTATCGTGGTTTGGTTTATTACGTAGTTTTGCATATATGGATGAACACAAACTCCGAGGATATGTTAGAATAGTTTCATTTAAAAGAAATAATAAACTCTTTTCTTGTCTGAATTTTCTTGGTCGTCTAGGTCTTAAAAAATATTTCCTTTTCTTTCATTTCCTATTCCTGCTTCTTCTACGGCTATAATAACATTTTCGCTTTTCAAATCATTTCGCATTCTTTAATGAATACACGTCCTTCTTAGTCATATGTTGAGTTATATTAACTTTGACTAATTTGCTCTAGAAAACTGAAACATTGAGTGCCGTATCTTTTACGAGCCAAAGACTATTTACTGTATCGGTTTCCATTTCTTTTTCCTTGCTGACGCTATTCTTCTTATTATGATTTCGTTTCATTTCTGGTGTATACTCATTTCTTTCCGATTCCAAACCAGAGAAATGGCATCATGACATTTTCCACTGGGCATTCTTTGAAGAAAAAATACTAAAGTCACACACATGATACATCGATAAAGCTCTTCGTTACATGTGGGCTGTAATTGTCAGTATATTTTTTGTATTTCTTTAAGCGTTGACTTACTAGAAATCCCTTCAAGGAATCTATAAGAATCTTTTTCAATCAATCCGTAGGCTCTAAATACAACTGGAATTATCGATGTTTTCGTTTGCCATATTTCTGAAATTCCGATTTCAAGATCCTTGTATTTTGAAGTTGTTCAAAGATGCATTACTCTCTGCAGTAAAGGGTTTTTTTTCTACATAAGCTTGTTTGGTCTGTGCATAATATTTACCATGATCTTTTGATTGTTTTATTTTATATCAGTGTGTTTTTGGAACCATTACGTAACACGGTGGAGTGACGGATAACGGCAAGAATTGCGGAATCGGAGACCTGAGTTCGAATTCCAGTCGTGTACATTAAATTCACTTACGTGCTCATACCCTTGAGAAATGCATGAAAGCAACTCTCCCCACCCCATGCATGAGTAAATAGCAGGACACACTAAGCCCTATACAAGCGGCGAAAGAAAAACTGGGGTGGGTTGAATTTTATCAAGCTAACACCATTGGTCCAGTACATGTTCCTCTCTAATGAGCTACGTGTCAGGTGGTGAGTCATTTTACTTTCACTGAAATTGTGATTAAATAGAACATTCATCCAATTTGTTTTTTTAATATAATTGCCTTTTTATTGTTTGTTAAATTCTCATGCTTAAAGACTTTTATCATGATACGTTAGTCATTTTAATGAAATATTTCTTGTTTTGTAAAGTTTTATATCTACTCTATTGGTTGTATAATTCGGTCAGTATTTATTGTAAAATATCAGTTCACTGTGATGTTATCTCGGTCATATAATGGAGTTTATATGTATTTGTAGCATATTTCCGCATGAAGAATACCATAATTATTATATGTCTGCGAAAGAATGTATTTCTCTACCTATGACATTTATAATTAAATTCATTTGAAGCTTATTTACGACACCCAAGTACTAGATTGCCTCATGTTATATAATGGTGTTCGCGGTACGAATTAAATTCTAATATTACTTAGCACTTATTCATTCCAATATTTTCATTTATTCTCGATTTTGTCTAGTGTTGAGAACACCAGTTTCGCCCGAGATCCGATTTAACATACAGCTCGTACATTCGGTTGTGATGTTTGAAAGAAATTTCCAATCATCTCTGGGCGAGTTTTTATATATACATATATCCATCAATATTTTCGTTTCCGCACTGGTTGCAGTACAGACTCCAGGTATGACGAAGTATTTCTGCTTTCTGTGGCCTGTATTAAACCAGGGTCAAACCTCCGTCAGGCTTCATTGGACGGTCTGGTTTGAAATGTAAGTGGAATTTCTAAACAATCAAAATATCCCAATAGTTATTATTTTTCTCATATAATATCTGGTAATATTTAATTCATACATAGCGGGTCACAGCCATCTCTTTTCTAATTAAAGTGTTCATCACTTTTTGTCTTATACGTTCCCTTCGTAAGTTTTTGATTCTGGAACAGTGCCATTCTGCAGTCAATGCCAGTTATCTTAATTCATGTCTCCATCACCGTGTCATGAGTAAATTACGAATTCAAAATTAAATTAATCCGAGCTAGTTACAGTTTCTTCGTCTTTTTACTCTATATTTGTATATAAAGTTAACAATTACTGTATCATTAACATTTCTTTTTCTAGTTTATTTTCAAAAATATATTATTTTTTTTTCTCCAGTTTCCCATCTGTTTGTATTGAAAAGTTTTAGAATATGACATTTTTCTAATACAAGGGCAAATCCCAGATTTTCTCTTCCATCAAGCCTCTTCTCATTGGATTCCCCACTTGTTATACAACAATCAGTGAATGATTTTGGCAACTTGATCATATCTCCACCTTTTATATTCATTGAGATTATTATTATTATTATTATTAATAATAATAATAATAATAATAATAGACTTATATTGAATTCTGGTGTATTATTCAAGTTAGGTCAATTTATTTAGATTCACAATTCCCGCACTATTCGCCTTATTTTGTTCATCCATATATCTGGCCTTCCTTCGATGTAATAGGAACATTTCCGTGATATGTATTCGTCGTCACCCGCTCATTGTGTTGTTATAATGATGTGCTCAAAAGCTACTTATCATATTCCCTAATGTCTTTACTTTTACGCAAGATAAATTCATTGATGTGCTCAGATAAGCTGAACTGAAAAAAAATATATCGCATAGCTTGCACCAAATTTTATTAATCGTTAAAACAACTCTAAATTAACTGTAAAAAATATGTGCTTGATTAATACGAGAAATTCCTTATTGAATATTCAAACGGAAGCCCGCGTTTCGTCATAAAGCAAACACGTTATTATTTCCTCTCTAAGTGGTAAACCATTGTTTGAATCCGCTTTTATAAGACGAATAATGAAGCCATTGAGGTGTTGCCCGTTTCTCTACTTAACGTATACCAATCCATCTTAAGGAATGTTATACACTGCAGGGAAATATTTAACAATGTAATGTTAATGTTTCAATTAACGGTAATGGATATTTCTATCAAACGACGACGAAGAGGCTTTTAACAGGAAATATTAAGTTGCTTACTTAAAATCTGAAATAGGGCAATAGAAACGAATCATAAAGCCCCTTTTTTCTGTATTGTGTCCAGTCTTACATGTAGTCAGAAATTATTATGCAACTCATTGATTTAAATTATAAAACTGGTATTCAGTACGACTGTTAAAACCTGCGGCTATATCACGTGGAAACACCGGTTCTCCTCCGATCACCGAAGTTAAACAACATCAAGACTCGACATTAACTAGATGGGTGACTGCATGGGAATACCAGATGCTGTGACGTCGGCATAATGGATAACGGGTTGGAAGGAAATGCCGAATTCGAATTTCAGTGGAGTTTGTTATGTTCACTTTCACGAAAAAGAAGTTCCGGAACGATATGAATCCACGTCTTCTCTTTCCCATCGAATTACAATAGGACTCGTTATATTCACTTATGCAAAGACACGCTTGGGAGATTATGAATCGAAAAAAAAAAAAAGACATGATATCCCAAGCGTGTCACATCAGCCTCTAACAACACATTGGGTCAGCGAAATAGTGTAATGAGCTCTTTCTCTTTTTCAGTCTGGGGGTGTTCAATAAAACGTACAATTGTGTTTGATGAAATTTTAAGAACACATATTTATAACTGTTATAGTGTCCTCCCCTTTTTCGTACAAGTGGACTCTACCAGTGTTACTTGGACTGCTGCCGTTAAATACCCAGAGTCAGTCAGAATAGAGAGAGATTGAGATTGAGTTGAAGGTAGAGTAATAGTGTGAGGTAACTGCTTGAAGAAGTCACAGTTACAAGCACGTAGACTCTAAGGAAGTCATACTTCGAGACTGTGTATATATATATATATATATATATATATATATATATATATATATATATATATATATATTATGTACTAAACCGCGATCCTGGATTTACTAAGAGTATTAACCATTGTATTATTGTGCAAATACATTTATTTGTTATATTTAATTCCTAGGTTGTCATTCATGGGAGACGGAATTTCATCTCGGAATCCATAACAAAATATATCGGTTTAATTTTTACTGATAGTATCTATCCGTATTACAAGCATGGATCTTATAGAAGTTAGGCTTTCAACGTAAAACTGATAAAAGCAAGATAAGTGTATATTTATAAAGGAATTCAAAACAGAAATAGAGCAAGGAAAGAAATTTACCATTATACAATGTACATTGTGACTATTTTATAGTGTTACGTGTGAATATGAAATTCTTCATCCTGTATTATGTTCATAAATAATGTTAGTTGATTTTTAACATTACTCGAAGCATTGATCACGTGCATCCTGAATCCATGATAAAAAATCCAAATGTGGAATTTGTAAATGCGAAACAGTTATAACGATATTTGTATACGAAATAATGTGAATTGCACATTGACAAAGGTTTGCTTGTGATAGTTTCGTAAAAAATTCTGCAAAAGAAAACGTTAATCTAACGAGTCAAGTCATTTTCTTAAATGACCTCGAATTGAGAATTCCATATGGACATTCATACTTCACGCAACACATAAAATTCGTTCACTTTTTTTTATTATACTTTCCCTTCGTAAGAGTTTTTGATTCTGGAACAGTGTCGTTCTGCAATCAGTGCCATTTATCTTAATTCATGTCTCCATCACCGTGTCATGAGTACATTCAAAATTAAATTAATCCGAGCTGGTTTCTGTTTCTTCGTCCTTTTACTCTATATTTGTATATAAAGTTAACAATTACTGTATCATTAACATTTCTTTTTCTATTTCATTTTCAAAAATATTTTTTTTTCTTTTTGCTCCAGTTTTCCATCTGTTTGTATTGAAAAGTTTTAGAATATGGCATGTTTCTAATACAAGGGCAACTCCCAGATTTTCTCTTCCATCAAGCCTCTTCTCATCGGATTCCCCACTTGTTATACAACAATCAGTGAACTGTAACCTCTATACAAACGCTGCCTCCGATAAATCATTACATTTAGCTTCGAGGGAATTAATCTAATAGGGTTAGCGATGACCATTCTTCTTCAACCCTCGTAGACTGGCGTTAGAGAATCACAAAAAAAATTGCACTAAATAAGAGTGCCATTATAACTTGAGGACTTACAAAAAAAGCAATATTTAAAATGAAACTCAAAGAAAAAATGGAATGTGCACACTACTTCTCATAAAAAAAAAACAAAAAAATAAACAAAAAAACAGATTAAGAAGTAAACTTCATTAAACTCAAGAAAGAGCAATAGCAGTGAAAGGAATCGAACCACTACTGTCCTGAAAATTTAGTTTAATTAAATGATTTTATAAAGTTCAAACGATGATAGCAGTTGCTGCTCTGTCAATGATTGCCAAATATTACCATTATCAAAAGTACGCAAAAAATATTCAACCTTTCCGCTCGATATATCTACCTTTTCTCTGAGTCTCTTACAACTCTCATCATGTTAATAGAGAAAGCTGTTGACTGGAATATATGTTGTTTATCTTCGAAGTGTATTGTGGCCTTTTCGTTAATTTTCTCCCCATTTAGATCCATATGAACGTGACCATGTTGTAATATAATACTCGAAAATAATTGGGAAAAATTCTTATATATTTGATCTTGTATCGTTGGGAAGATGTATGAAATTATATTTTTAGTTGAAACTGGCTCAGATGAAGAGGGATATTATCTGATAATTTGGTTGTAATTCTTGAAATCATTGTAGTTTCCTTGTTGAAAGCATAAATGTACTATCCGAATATGCTCGACTGGATGTTTCATCATCATGCATATTCCAGTGCATGACAACGTAGGATACTTGTCACTCATTTAATTAATGAGATGTCTTTTCATTTCCACGTTATGTTCAGCAATCCAGAGAGATGTTGCAAAATGTATGGTATTAGTTATTCACACACAGAATTGATGAAACGGTGAAGTTCCATGATGCCAACTAAAATTCTAATGCATATGGAATTGATGTTTCTCTTCATTCTGTTTAAAGAAATAAATATGTATTTCTTTTCAAACCGTTATTCAAATAAGACACTTAAAATTGTCCGGAGTCAATTCCGCCAATTTAAAGCCATCGCAATGTTTGTTCACAATTGCGGCGAACGTAGAGTAGTCCTCATTTTCGCTTTTTACGAGGTTGGGACATTTCCACCTTTTGTGAAAAAGTGAAGTCTTTGGACTGAAGAGCTCCGTAAGGCATGTAGCTGCCTCGTCAAACGTCAAATCGTTTGTCTTTTTCGGTAGAATATAGTCCACAAATTTTGTGTACTCGTCTGTTCCGAATTTCCCGAGTAATAAACGTAGCTTCTTAGCTTCCGTCCAATTTTGGCAATCAATGTTGAAAATGTCTTCATGACGTCTGTAACAGTCCCCGAAATTTTTATCATCTTCTAGAGAGTATTTAAATGTTTCGATTGTGTTCCAAACTGCATCTTGGGAAAAGCTCGCCTCTTTTTCGATATTCTTTTTTTGTGTATTGCCCGCTACTTTTAATATTAATTCCTGGAGTTGCATTTGTCTTTCTTCATTTTGCTTTTGTCTTTCTTCATTTTCCTTCTGTGTTTGTAGTAATTGCTTTTGCCAATTCTCCATTCTTTCTTGGATTTGTAGTCGCTTTTCATTTTGGTATTTTACAAGTTCTACTAAAATACTTTGAAAATCCACCATGATAGTGTCTTACGAAAAACTTGATTTTCCGTATTTTGAGAAAGTACCTTTTAATCACGATGGTCACGCAAAATCCTTGCAAATCCTCGTAAATCTTTGTCGTCAAGTTGTTGTGGACACTGACAAACGGCAATTTTTGTTCGTGTGGGTCCGAAATCCTCGGCGCCAAGTTAGTGTTTTGCCAAGAGAGAATTTTTTTCCATGTGGTCATCGTCGCCAAATTGTTATGGATTCCGGGGATGGAATCCGGCACAATAAAATAAACACGCCAAAAATTGAAATAGAAAAATATGTGTATTAAACGTAAGAATACAAAGTTGAAATGAAGATTAGTAGTCCAGGAATGCGGGTTAGTAGAAAAGGATATGTACAAGTCTCTGTAAGTGAAGCCGTAATTATCTCTCTTCCTGGACTCTCGTATAACTCTGGTTGAACACCCTGTCTCGACGTTTTTGCCACGCTATCTCTCCGTAGTATAAGTATACTCTGGACGAGTCCATCTTGTGAACAAGGGGCGAGCCCCACAATAATTGAAAAATTCGATTTCATTTATAATGTTTCGGGTATCTGCATTCCCCAATATTCAATAAACCCTGAGAATATTTTCTTTCGCCACACAATTTCCTATTTCTCTTCAACTGAAACTTCTCAAATAATAGGACATTTGAAACATTAAATTTATATATCAGCATATACTGTTAAATGTTAAAAAAAAAACCTCCATGCCTAATAAATCGATTTCCTCCAAAAAGCAACATTCGTTTAGCATATACGCAAGGCCACTATTTCGAAATTCCTCACCAGATAAGTCTAAGACTATTTCGTATTTCTTAGAACAACAACAGTGTCAAATTTTCTCCCAACAATTTATTAACCGTCCGAATGTTGTCGTGATTTATAGTCGTTGCACGAAAGCCACGTTGGGAAATGAAAACAGAAAAAAGACACATATTCCTGATCAAAAACGACAGCTGAAGTATCTTGGACACAATGTAATTTTCCTATCCTATGTTTAAAGGATATATCGAAAGGAAAAAAGGACAGGGAAAAGCAGCAACCCACCTACAGTACAAGTTTTGTGAGTGAATGGCGGGAATATTGGTGGGATCTTGGCAAAAGGAAAAACGTTGCTAAAAGTTACAAGAGATAGAATGTTGCTGAGAGTCATAATCGACCACACCCTGAAAGGATTCTGTCCATAAAAGAACTCTAATCGATTATTTTGGAAAGTATTTTGAAAATATTTTTCTCAGGTTTAGTAGCTGTTATCACTGTTTATATAGTTGTTCTTCTTAACATTATGTTTGAAATAATATGGACATTCATCATAACTACATTATTATTATTTTCTATTTGATTTCTTTATGCTATCCATTTTAATAGTTGAACGTCAACACGTGATGGTTTCTCTTTTTTGGTACAGTTCTTTTTGTGTGATTCTGTAGCGAAATTTTTGCTAAATAACTCCAGTTTCATTCACCCGTAGCTATTTTAATCAGTGATCTGAGAAAGCGGTTTTCGACAGCTGACAGTTCAGATATTTCTGAAAGATATTTGCGCCATTAATCAGATCCATACGGAAGGTTCGAACTGCCGACGCTGTTTAAGAACATGACACTA